GGGTGTGGATTTTGCTATACTCATTTTTAAAAGGTAAAGGTATCGCAGGGTCGGGAACTTCGGCTATATCATTCCACTTGCTTCATGTCCAACCGGCTGCGAATTTCGCTTGCCCTGCCGCTGTTTTAATAACGTGCATGCTGCGCATTTAGGATAACATCTGAATTTATGTAACGACACAAACGCAAACACAAACAAGATGGCAGCCAGACAGGCGAAACGTGAAAAGCGGAAAGAAAAGCGGCAGAGTGGGACAGCGACGATTTCCCGTGGCACGGCGTGTGATAGAGCGAGAGAGAAACAGGGTCGGGAAGAAGACTCAAATGAAAACTGATGCGGATTAGTATTTAAAATAATGTCCTGCAGGGATATAACTTGTCCCCCCCTCAAGCTTTGGGCCTCATTCCGCTTTCTTTGCCGTTTTTATTTTTTCTCACTTGATTTTTTATTTTGTGTTTCCTTATACTTTTTCCCATTTCAATTCCTTTGCAGCGATTTTTTCTTTCAGGGGGAATGTTTCATAAAATTTATATTTGCAGATAAGTGTGCTTGTGGGGAGTGGGAGGGCAAGGAACGGGCAGGACGTTTTTATTACGAGACAATTTACATATTTTCCTTGTTAAAATTCCTCAACATTCTCCCTTTCGTGTCATATGAATTTCCTCCCATTTTCTTGTTTCTGAATTAATGTTAATTTTTATTACACTTACAGTACCGTCCCTCCCCCACATGCCGACCCACTCTGCTCATTTAAATTCAAGTTTGTTTGTCTGAAAGAACAAAAAAAGAAAGAAGAAAAATAAGAAAAGTGGAGGGGGAAAAAACCATTGCCGAAGTCCAGATGAAAATGTTAATAATAAAACAACAAAATCCGAGTGAATGCGTTGCAAATCGAAAAATAATAAAAATAGAATCCACGCCCCCTCTTTTTCGCAGACAGGACACAAGTCCCCCAGTCGATGCCTCATTACGTATTCCCTGAACAAATTCTATTAATTATCGTTATGTCCTTCTGATGGGTGACTGCAATCGTAGGACCACCTGCTGTTTGCCCGCTCGCTTCTTAATAAAAGTAACACGGGGATTTTAATTTCTCTCAGTAAGCTGTGTATATGTCTACTAAATTGCGTGTTATATAAAGTACTTGCAATTTTCAATTTATCCTCAGCAAAGTCGGCAACTGTAAATAAAAAACTATGGTTAATTGTTGTTGGTATAATTCTAAAGTAAGTCTTAATATTTGAAGCCATGTTTATTTTTTCTCAGCTTTGTTGTGACCCTACAACAATCGAAAATCGGAAAATAATATTGTGTCCATTTCCCATGTGGAATCCAGTTACTAAATTATTCCCAATTCAATTTCCCATAGCCAAATAAAATCACAGGCAGCCAACTAAAGAAATGGGACATCGAGCACTTGCACTGGGATATGCAGAGATGAGCAATTTGTTGTTCTGATGCTGCTGGTGCCAGTCATGGAAAATTCTAAATGTTTCAATCAACTATTCGCAATATTAAATATTAACGTAAAACTCGAGTGGAGTTGTCTCGGACTGACCCTTTCGATGTCGAACCCAAAAAGGTCATCATGTGTCTGCGAACACACTTACTCCGACTCACATAACATAGATATATACGAGTAAATACACAAAACAAAATATTATGAGATGGGAATAAAAGACTTTTAATAGATATCTGTGACTATTAATAGATTCCAAAAATGTTTTATTGTTCATGGAAATCTATATTTTATAAAGAAAAAACATAAAAAAATGTTTTAATAAATTGAAACTAATATTCATCATAAAAATATCAACATTTTCGTCGGTGTAGAGAAGCTGGCAAAGTAATTTTGGACATTTTTCATCATAAACAGCAATGACTACGCTTGCAGTTGGAAGACTCAACCCCTTCTGGGAATTTCTTCCTTGGCCGGGCTTTGATTTCGAATTGGATTTGAATTTGGAATTTTTGGCTTTCAAGGACCGCCGGAGGACCTGTAGTTGAATTGGAAATGGCAACGGAGTCCAAGTTGGTCAACGCATAAATATTTCTCTTTGTTCAACCATCGCATCGGAGCCAAAAAAGAGCATTACGTGAGTGTGCGAGTGTGTGTACCTGTATATCCTTTTTGGTCTGCACTCATCTCTCCCCCCTCCCTGTCTGGCCACCACCCCCTACACCTCCCCTGCATCCACCCTCCGCACCAGGACAAACAAACAAGCTGCAGGATCTGGAGTGGTGGGCAGCCTGAAAGGATGGTCAGATATGAGCAACGGTCGAATGGTCAAGTCAAAGTTATTGTCATGTCATGTAAGTGCCAGCCACCCTCCACACCCCGCACCTCTCACACCCCTTTCCCCCTCCTGGTTCGGTCAGAATTTCCAATTTCATCTTCATCTTCCATACAGTACAAGTACCCCATTTTGTTTTTCACAGTGAGGACAGTGGAAAACATATTTATTTTCGGTACAAGATAAAAGATTAAAATATTCTAGGCCTGGAACAGATTTCTTTACCAAACTGTGATGATTCAAATCGAGAGCAATAAATATATAACATTTTTTGAATATTTATAATTAGTAAGGTACGCTTCAAGATTTGTTTAAAAAAAACTTTATTTATTTTTAAATTTAAGATTTTTTTTCAGAAACCATCAGCCCTAAACATATTTTGTATAACTATTTTACCTTTTTTAACACAACAAATCTGGTATATTGCAATAAAATAGTTAAACACTTGATGTCGATTTTTATATAGAATTATGAACCAATTGTTATGAAAACACTTTTATTAGCAAAATGACTTAAGAAAGAAATAGTGATATAAGTCGTGTAAAGTTACACAATCAAAATCTGAAGCATAACTAAGTAAATAAAAATACGTCTTGAAAAGAACTTTTAAACAATGTATACTTGTAGAAATGCCTTCCTAAAAACTGACGGTATATGATGAAAAAGTTGTCACACGTGCGCTGAAGTTAAATGTAAACACACCTGCTAAAAAAGCGTCATCAGAAATTCACCGAAAACTTTTCATAAGTTTGAAGAGCACTGGGGGAGATCGTGTTCGAGAAAAGGTTTTCCCCAGGGTTGGGTAAAATGTAAATATGGGTTGTAATGGCCGTCGCCCCAGGAGGTGGAAAAATCAACTGACCAGTAACTTTGAAGCAAACTTTGATGGCATCTTGCGAAAGTTGAAAGTGACTTAAGTGAAATTTCCACCTCGGGCGGCTCAGCAGGCCGACCTCGCCCCCTTTTTTTATTGGTTTTCGAGGGGTCACGCCATGAACATGAGTAAAAATTAAATTGATTTTCCTCGGACATTGTTCGGACCTGGTCTAAAGTTCTGTTCGCTTCTCATTCTGCCTCCTCATGGTCTTTTGACAAACCTTCGGATTTTTCGCCCAAATCATTCAGGAAACTTCGGCTGCGAACTCCTTCAACTTGCCTGTGTCGCATATTAAATTGGTGCGCAAATAGTTTGAGACCCTGGCCTAGTCGGTGTATTATTGACTTACTTTATTCAGCATCTGCCAGAATTTTTACCCAGCAAAATATTACCTTGAAAGCTTCGCTCCAACCATCAACTTAGTCCGCATTCCCATACCACTTCCACTTGACTTAAGCGACAATTTCGTTTCAATTAAAATATAATTATATCTTCAGTTTGGCCCCATCAAGTTTCAGTCAGACAAAAAGTACAATTTTCATTTTCACCTTGGCCAAAGACGAGGCGGGCGTTGATAATTCCCCAAAATTGTTTGACACTTCAAAGTCATTATGAAGATAGCAATCACCAACCCCGTTTCTCGGTCCGCCCAACTTTTCTCCAAGGGTCCTGACATTTCTTCACGGCCCGGCATTCCCATTCCTGAAGCTCGCAATCCTTCAGGCCCCAGACCCCTCTCCCCCCGTCACACTTTTGCCACTTTACTCAATCCTAAGATGGTCTGTCTACATACCTACATACCCGCAGCGCTTTTTGATGTAATTTTGGCATAAGCCAAAAAATGTTTCCTTTCTCGAGATGTCTTTGTCTCCACTCCCCAGCGAGCGGTTTCCGAATGCGACACGCTCTGACAAACTCATCCGGGGAAAATTAAGAAAATGGCTGAAAATTAAATTTGGAATTAAAATTTTAGCGTTGCGCACATAACTTTATGCCCTCGGGTTTCCTTTCCACCCAAAAGGGTTTCGCTGCATAAGGCTGAATCCTTGAGACAGCGAAGGCAAGATAATAGCTGAGCAGAGACGGATTTTAGAGATTAAGACGATTGGGTTACATAATCGTACTTTTTAAAAGAAGGTTAAATTAACGGGTAGGAAAGATGGACGTGGTTTCCCGATTAGCGATTTAAAAAATAAAAGGATGGCATCTAATAATTTAATAATTACCGATGTTTTCTTACAAATAAAGTAGCTGTTCTTCATTCTATCGTTTCAAAAAATAATAACTCTATTAATAGTAGTTTTCTTTAAAATGGTAAGTTCGTTGAGATGAAAGGATTGGGAAAGGAATTTTACGATTTCTGTATCATAAAGACGTAGTCCATCTAATACCAAAGTACTTTTCACCAATTTGGAGCCCCCAGATCGAGTCAGTGCGAAAGAACTTTTTACGATTTGCTCTTTAGGGTCCTTATGTAGAATGCAATTATTATATAATACTCTCATCTAACTCTCGAAGGCTTCTTTTAACTAATTTACTATCCCTTATATATGAATAATAGAATTTCTATTAAATACATTCCACTTCTTTTGAATCATTTACGATCAAACTAAGACACGTACAATAATTTTGGTGTAATAAGTGATTTAGACTGTACCATTTTGTTTCCACATTTGAATGTCTGGCAAATAATTTCTTGCATTAGAGTAATTTAATTATTATTATTTAGTCTCCCTATATTGTCTTTGACATATTATAGTATTTCCAAGGTACTCAAGGGGTAAATCTCGTAAGAAGCACTCATAAATATTAATCAAAAGATATTTTAAACTGTGAACAAGTTTATTTGAAGCACATTTTCAGGTGAGATATTTCATTTATTATTGCTTCACAATGTTTTTGAAAAGTATTGAGTTTAGTAACTGTACACTTCTAGTTTTAACACACATTTTTCACGATGTAAATTAAAATTTATCAAGTTATTAACAAAAGTTTCGAGTAACGATGACTGGTAATGTGTCAGAAGACTTAAAATTTAAGTCAAAATATTACTTCATCGTCAATGTTTAGTTGATGTTTCTTAATATCCAGCCTATATATGGAAATACGCGCGTGAATACGAATAATACGGTATCTTTTCTCGAACCTGGTACAATGCTAAAGGTAGGAAGTCCGACCAGGAAGAAGTTATGTGGCTTTTCGTTCACCACTTCGACTCCCATCAGTGGTGATCCGAAAAATTGTTGTTTTTCTCTAGCTGCCGTGGCGCAAAGATGATTCTCATTGAGAGTCAAACGGAACTGCAAGGAGGAACAGTACTCCTGACTAATCGTGTTCACCTCCACCTTCGAGCGAAACTCTTCTTCCGGCCGCAGATTCGATGAAATCTTGGTCCAGTGCAAGAATCCCACCATTTCCAGCTTCTGGGCTATGTGACTGTTCTTGTCCTCGTTGATGGTTGGAAGGCAAAGAGGTGCCACATTGTTGCTGAACTCCACGATTCGCACCAGCTTGGCCAGTGCGATGTCGTTCTCCAAATATTCTCGTTTTGCCAGTCCTATGTACCCCGGGTGCACCACCAGCTCATCTATGTCGATCGCTATCGGGGGTGGGGCGCAGTTTTCCAAACTGTCACTGTCATGGAGACAGTCTTCCTCGTCGAAGTTCCTGTTGGATCTCCAGTCCCCGAAAAGGATGAACAAGGGATCATCTAACTCCAGACAGGTGGCAGGAAGAATCGCATATTGGGGCTTGATCAGCACCGCAAGGCAGAGGAATTTGGCGCTGGAATTTCTGGACTCACCGTAGCCAACGCGACCAATCCACGGGAACTCATCAGGTTCTGTGATCTCTTTTAGATTGGTTAACTGACTTTCCTGCAGATCACCACACGACTGTCCCTGTATTTCTAAAAACAAAAATAACATTAACAAAAATACCTGTTAGATTCTCATTTAGGTTTCTTAATGAAATAATTGCATTTACTTCTAATAACAGTAATAGCATTTACGCAAAGAAACGGAAATAACATAAATGTCCAGGAATGAACAGGCCAAAAAACATATTCGGTGCGCAACTATGGTAAACAAACTGCTGCGACACATGAGTGATTTTGTTTTCGCATTATATATTTCTTGTTAAGTAAAAATGTCTAATTTTGTGCCAAACAATCGTCATTTGCGGGAAGAGTTGATTTCCTCTTCCATTCGAAAAAAAAAACGGCAGCTCAAGCTCATCGAGAGCTTTCAAAAGTATACGGAAATGCTGCTCTGAGTGAAACAACATGCCGTGATTGGTTTCGTCGCTTCAAAGACGGTGATTTTAATGTTGACGACCGTCCTCGTGAAGGAAGGCCCAAAATCTTCGAAGGATTCGTGCCAAACTCAAGAAGAGCTTGCTTCAGAATTAGGAGTCACCCGTGAAGCCGTTTCCAAGCGATTCAATGCGTTGGGGATGATTCAGAATGATTTTTATCGAAAAACAGCGAGAACTTAGTTGCGCACCTAATAGTAGGTGAAAAGTGTAGCTAGCTCGATAGACCACGCGTTGGATTTAAAGTAAACTGTAGGTTTTACGCAGTTAGAACCAGTTGGGAATTATATCTCGGCATAAGAGCTAAGATTCATAATGCTGGGCATGTGTTGGTTTTGGACTTTGTTCTGCTTGAATAAGATTAATCACATAAATGCACATTTCCCATCGGAATTAAAGCACTCTTTGTTAGTCACATTTATTTATAATATATATTTACTCAAACCAGTTCACTTTCTGATTCCAGATTTCCCACTTAAGTAAAACATACTAATATTTTTAAGGGATCAATAGTTTAACCTTATCCTTGGCAACTTACGCGATAATAAAGTAGTAAGAACTGCAAATATTAAATAGAGCACTGGAATACCTCCAAACATCTTGTAATGATATTGAATGGGAACTGATGTTCTATGAGAGCTTTAGCTCAGTTCAAGATTTTGCATTGAAAAGCTGCAGCTTGAGTCGGGTTTTTTGCAATCTAGTGTTTTAAAACATTCTAAGCTATAACAGGTTTCTCTTTTCATTTTTATGCAGTTTAAGCCAAATGGATTAAGCATAGTTAATTCGGTGCAAAATCGCTAATTTTTTAAGAATTTATATGGATTGTCTCAGCTCAATTTTGGTTTTTGCATGTGATAGGGCAACATTTAAACAACATGTGTCAATTTTTTCATCCAAAAATATCAAATTTCAAATTGAGTGAGATACAGGCAATCTCTGGCGGCGCCTCGAAGAAAACACGTTTTGCGGTGTACACGATAACTGCATTAGTTAAAGCACAAGATTCCCCAGGTAACGCTGTAGAGTTTTTATTTTTTGGATTTTTTTTTTTAGATTTTTTAAATTACTTGAAAGTTAAAAACCCCTATTACGCGACCAATCCACGGGAACTCATCCGGTTCTGTGTACTCCTTTAGATTGTTCAGCTGACTTTCCTGCAGCTTTCCACACGACTGTCCCTGAATTTCTATTAACGAAAAAAACATAATAAACATAATTCCAGCTTGTTGTTGATATTAGAGTTGTCTTTTCATATTCGTTTCGCAATATTTACATTTATTCTTTAACTCCTTCAAAGCGATTAAACAAAAAACAAGAAAGGAAAGCTAACTTCGGACGGAGCCGATGTTGATATACCCTTGCAGAATATTCTGTAAATTATATTCTTCAAAATTATTCATATGATGTATTCTTAATACTCATAAAAAGTCCCAACTTCCTAACTTTACAAACACCCAAGTTATGGCATTTCCGATCAATCAGTTATATGGCGGCTATAGGATATAGTCGTCCGATCCTTATGAAATTCGGTAGGGTGGATTAATTGGCCAAAAATAAAACTCATAGAAAATCCCAACTTCCTAACTTTAAAAACACCAACGTTATGGCTTTTTCGATCGTTCAGTTATATGGCAGCTATATGATCGCCCGATCCGGCTCGTTCCGACTTATATACTACCTGCAATAGAAAGACAACTTTTGGGAAAGTTTCAAGCAGATAGCTTAAAAACTGAGGGACTAGTTTGCGTAGAAACGGACGGACGGACGGACAGACGGACGGACAGACGGACAGACGGACATGGCTAGATGGACTCTCCTGGTGATGCTGATCAAGAATATATATACTTTATAGGGTCGGAAATGTCTCCTTCACTGCGTTGCAAACTTTTGACTGAAATTATAATACCCTCTGCAAGGGTATAAAAAGAAAAGAATTATCAGACCAAAATTACTGGGTTTCGTTTAAACTACGGGTTTTGCACACATTCATTTTAAAACAATGTATCTGAAGCAAATCATACGAATTCGATCGAATTGTATGAGATTATTCAAACGACGGCCAGTGTATTTAGTCCAAGTTCTTAAACTTATTATAATGACGCTTTAGAAGGTGATACTCACTAAATTTAATAAATTTATTTAAATTAAAGCACATTTCGCTAAGCCACAACCACAACTCTGAAATCAGAAAGGTGAACTAAAATATTTTTTAAAATGACTACTTGATAAGGAAGTCAATTTTTATCATAGATTTAAAGTAAGTTTAAGGGTTACAAATCTAACTCCAGTTGGGCATTTTAGCTTCACATTCTCGGTAAGATTTAAGAACTAAACAAACTTTTGGTGTGCTCTTACCGGACTTTGCTCCAAGTGAATAAAATAAATTACCCACATGCACTTTTCCCATTGGAATTCAAGCACACTTTGTAAATCGCGTAATAGTGTATGTATTTATTCTATCCAATTCGCCCAAAACGTCGAGATATTTATTGTTATAAATTAAACAAGAAAGGAAAGCTAACTTCGGGCGGAGCCGAAGTTGATATACCCTTGCAGAATACTCTGTAAATTATATTCTCCAAAATTATTCATATGATGCATTCTTAATACTCATAAAAAATCCCAACTTCCTGACTTTAAAAACACCAAATTTATGGAATTTCCAATCGTTCAGTTATATGGCAGCTATAGGATATAGTCGGCCGATCCTTATGAAGCTTGGTTGGTCTGATTGATTGGCCAAAAATAAAACCCATAGAAAATCCCAACTTCCTTACTTCACAAACACCAAAGTTATGGCATTTCCGATCAATCAGTTATATGGCAGATATAGGATATAGTCGGCCGATCCGACTTATATACTGCGTGCAAAGGAAAGAAGGGCGTGTGCAAAGTTTCAGTTCGATATCTTTAAAACTGAGAGACTAGTTTGCGTAGAAACAGACAGACGGACAAACGGACAAGGCTATATCAACTCAGGAGGTGATCCTGATCAAGAATATATATATACTTTATAGGGTCGGAGATGTCTCCTTCACTCCTTCAAACGATCCGTCCGATAGATTTTGCAGGATCGTGTACACCGACTTTAGGAGAGCGTTTTAAAGTTTGGGACACCCAAAAATTCAATATAAAACGCGCTTACTTACCTACGTTCAACTGCCCATAAGTTTGGAAGTTTTACTCGGATCGATCTAAAATTTTAACACAATATTCTCGAGAAGCTAAACTAAAAAAAAATGCAAAAAAATACCCCTTAACTTTAGCAAAATTCTCGATGGAAGCGATATAATAGATATAATTCACAAGTTATTTAACTTAACCTGATGTCGCATAAAAAGATGATATTAATTTGATGAAATTGAAGCAAATTAAACGTAAATTTATGTAAGACCATAATAATTAGTGTTGACAATTATATATTTAAGTCTCGATATTTAAATTAATCGACCAGTAAAAAACTCTTAGTGTCGTTGCATAACAGTCACTCAGTTCATAAAAGAATTAAGCTGACTACTGTTATGAAAATTATTCAAAATGATTTCATTAAATAAGAATAATAAAATTATCGGAAAACGTTGTGTGAGTACATAAATAAGCATTTATCATTTTGTTATCAAAAAAAACAACAAATCAAAATTCTTTTAACTCCAAAAATTTGTATTTCCTGGGTGGTCACCACCTACAACGACAATAAAACACTCATTAGAATAAATCAATATCTTATGCTGATATATTTTCAGTATTACTAACTGAACACTTCTCGTTCACACATTTCAAAAAATTTTTTCACGCTGTAATTAAAAATTTTAAAGTTTTTAACAAAGGTTTCAAGTAACGAAGACTGGTAATGACGTCAGAAGACTTAGAATTTAAGTCAAGACAATATTAAGTCACTGTTTATTATTATCCAGTCTTGAAATGGAAATACGCGCGTGAATACGAATAATGCGGTATCTTGTCTCGAACCTGGTATAATTCTGCGGGTAGGAAGTCCGACCAGGAAGAAGTTATGTGGCTTTTCGTTTACCACTTCGACTCCCATCAGTGGTGATCCGAAAAATTTTTCGATTTCTCTAGGTGCCGTGGCACAAAGATGATTCTCATTGAGAGTCGAAGGGAACTCCAAGGAGATACAGTACTCCTGACTAATCGTGTTCACCTCCACCTTCGAGCGAAACTCTTCTTCCGGCCGCAGATTCGGTGAAATCTTGCTCCAATGGATGAATCCCACCATTTTTAACTTCTGAGCTATGTGGTTGTCCTTGTGTTTCGTGGTTGGAAGGCAAAGAGGTGACACAAAGTCCGAGAAGTCCACGCTTCGCACCAGCTTAGCCACTGCGATGTCGTTGTCGATGGCATTGGGATTCCTCAGTCCCATGTACTTCGGGTGCACCACCAGCTCTTCTATGTCGATCGCTTCCGGGACGGGGGCACACACATCGAAGAGACAGTCTTTCTCATCGAAGTTCCGGTTGGCACGCCAGTCCCCGAAAAGGATGAACAGGGCATCCACTTCGGCGCGGTTCAGGACACAGTGGGCGGGAAGGATCGCATGGCGCGGCTTGATGAGAACCGCAAGGCAGTAGAAATTGGTACTCACATTACTCGACTCCCCGTATCCCACGCGACCAATCCACGGGAACTCATCAGGATCTGTGATCACTTTTAGATTGTTCAGCTGACTTTCCTGCAGTTTCCCACACGACTGTCCCTGTATTTCTAAAAACAAAAATAACATAAGCATAATACCTGTTAGATTCTCATTTAGGTTTCTTATCAAAATAATTACATTTACTCTTAATAACAGTAATTGCATTTATGCAAAAAATGGAAATAACTTAATTGTCCAGGAATGATCAGACCAAAATCTGATGGTATCGTTCTAACATAGTCATAATTCGGAGAGGATGCACCATCTTTTGTAGTGGAAAGTTTAGCTAGCTTGATAGACCAAGCGTTGGCGTAGATTTGAAGTAAACTTTAGGTTTTACCCAGTTAAAACCAGTTGGGAATTATAGCTCGGCATGAGTGGTAAGATTCGAAATTCACTTGCTTATTTTTAGTGCTTTGTTAATTAAAATTATGCTAATTAATATTATGTTAATTAATATTTGTTAATTAATATTATTATTGCTAGTCACAATTATTTATAATAAATTCACTTGCGGATTTCTAGTGTTATGTTCATTTTTATTATGCCGAATAGATTTTCTACTTAAGTAATACCTACTAATATTTTTAAAAGACCAATAGTTTGACCTTATTCTTGGCAACTTACGCGATAATAAAGTAGTAAGAATTGCAAATATAAAATAGAGCACTGAAATACCTCCAAACATCTTGTAATGATATTGAATGGGAACTGATGTTCTATGAGAGCTTTAGCTCAGTTCAAGATTTTGCATTGAAAAGCTGCAGCCTGAGTCGGGTTTTTTGCAATCTAGTATTTTAAAACATTCTAAGCAATAACAGGTTTCTCTTTTTCTTTTTATGCAGTTTAAGTCGAATGAATAAAGCATTCTATTACTGAGTTTACCTGTAAAAATATCAAGATTACCAGGCAAGTATTAAACACAAATGTAAATAATTGTTTTCTATTTGCCTACTCATTTAATTTCCTGAAAATTTGACACAATTTGTATAACTTATACTTGCAGATTAAAAGGGTATATTTAATTCGTTGTTATGTAACAGGCAGAAGGAAGCGTTTCATACCACCCAACAAGTACAACGACAATAAAACACTCATTAGAATTAATTAATAGCTTATTCTAATATATTTTTGTGTGATCAAGTTTATTTAAAGCACAATGTTGTTTTAAGTTTTCTCTGAACGACTTAAGTGCACTGATTGGCAAGAAATAATGACGTCAGAAGACTTAGAAATTAATCATAAATACTACTTGATTTTTTGTGTTTCGTTTTTGTCTACAATATTTTTAAGAATCCAGTTTCTAAATGGAAATATGCGCGTGAATACGAATAAAGCTTTATTCCTCTCGTCACCAGTTATTACTCCGTAGGTAGGAAGTCCGACTAGGTAGAAGTTCCGTGGCTTTCCATCCTCCACTTCGATGCCCATCAGTGGTGATCCGAAAAAGTTCAGGAATGCCGCACTTGCCATGGCGCAAAGATGATCCTGGGTGAGGTTCAACTGGTCCTGCAAGGAGGCACAGAATTCCAGACTTGCTATGTGCACATCCACCTTCGTACGAAACCCCTCGTCCTGCTCAAAACTCGGTAGATTCTTTTTCCTCCGCAAGTATCCCACCATTTTCAACTTCTGAGCTATGTGGTTGTCCTTGTGTTTCGTGGTTGGCAGGCAAAGAGGTGACACAAAGTCCGAGAAGTCCACGCTTCGCACCAGCTTGGCCACTGCGATGTCGTTGTCTATGGCAGTGGGATTCCTCAGTCCCATGTACTTCGGGTGCACCACCAGCTCTTCTATGTCGATCGCTTTCGGGACGGGGGCACACACATCGAAGAGACAGTCTTTCTCATCGAAGTTCCGGTTGGCACGCCAGTCCCCGAAAAGGATGAACAGGGCATCCACTTCGGCGCGGTTCAGGACACAGTGGGCGGGAAGGATCGCATGGCGCGGCTTGATGAGAACCGCATGGCAGTAGAAATCGGTACTCACATTACTCGAATCCCCGTATCCCACGCGACCAATCCACGGGAACTCATCCGGTTCTGTGTACTCCTTTAGATTGTTCAGCTGACTTTCCTGCAGCTTTCCACACGACTGTCCCTGAATTTCTATTAACGAAAAAACATAATAGTTAGACTTTTAAATACAGTTTCTTGTTGATATTAGAATTGTCTTTTCATATTCGTTACGAAATATTTACATTTATTATTTAACTCCTTGAAAGCGATTAAACAAAAAAAAAAACTAGAGAGAACGCTATAGTCTCGACTAATAGATACCCGTTACTCAGCTAAACAACTTAATATAAATATGCCTTCTTGTATGTTTTTTTTTTTGTTTTAATTTATTTTAACATAATGTGAATTACCCACAGGAAAAAAGGACAAAAAGTTCAAATTATCAATTTGAATTCGGCGATCTCTTAGTGCTGGCAGCTTTACAGCACGAGCATCAGCACCAGCGCTGCTTTAGCGCAGGCAGCTTTTGTCCTGCACCAGCAGCTGTGTTTATGTTTATGTTTTTGAGTGCAATAAATTGACTAGAAATATTAAACATACATACTTATATTGGCTAAACACATACATTCTTAAATAGTATTATGTATACTAAAGTCTAAATGTTTGCACAACACGAGTAACGGGTATAGCGAATAGCTTTCTTTGAAAGGAGTTATCTTTGCCGGGCAATTGCAACTGTGTACAATGTAAATACATACATATGTATATGCTTACATACATACACACACACGCCATTGTTTGACTCAGACCTTCAATTTGGCTAACTAGATTTGATTTGCATAGTTCTTGGGATATAGTTCGGTATTGACAAATGAAAACCATCGCAATTTCCTTTAATATAAATCCTTATCGAGAATTAACGTTGACTCTGTTGAGCACCTTGGCCAGCTGTTCCAAAGTCATCCGTTAGATGGCGCCATGAAAGGCGGAAATGTAGGCGCTAGCCAGGCTTAAGGTTTTAATGGGTTTTTGGGCGTTAGAGTGGGCGTGGCAAACTTTTATTAGGCCAATCGATATTTATTGACGAAACAAATACATATCAATTAAAATTTTCATAATAGCATCAAAACTGTGGCCACAGCTTGTGGCTTGTGGGCGTTAGAGGGGGCGTGGCACCATTTAGAAACAAACTTGCGCTGCGTAGGAACTCCTAAAATCTACATGCAAAATGCCAATCTTCTAGCTTTTATAGTTTCCGAGATCTCAGCGTTCATACGGACAGACAGACGGACAGACAGACAAACAGACGGAGAGGCGGACAGACGGACAGACGGACATGGCTAGATCGACTCGGCTAGTGATCCTAAACTCTTGTTTATATATACTTTATAGGGTCGGAAACGCTTCCTTCTACCTGTTACATACTTTTGCACGAATACAATATACCCTTTTACTCTACGAGTGACGGGTATAAAAATCAAAGAATTATCAGACCAAAAATACTGGGTTTCGTTTAAACTACGGGTTTTGCACACAATAATTTTAAAACAATGTATCTGAAGGAAATCATACGAATTCGATCGAATTGTATGAGATTATTCAAACGACGGCAAGTGTATCTAGTCGCCTGATCCGCAAGTTCTTAAAATTATTATAATGACGCTTTAGAAGGTGATACTCACTAAATTGAATAAATTAAATTAAATTAAAGCACATTTCGCTAAGCCACAACCGACAAACTCCGAACTCAGAAAGGTGAAGTAAAATATTTTTTAACATGACTACTTGATAGGGAAGTCAATTTTTATTATAAGGTAAATTTAAGGGTTACAAATCGAACTCCAGTTGGGCATTTTAGCTTCACATTCTCGGTAAGACTTAAGAAACTAAACAAACTAAATTACCCACATGCACTTTTCTCATTGGAATTCAAGCACAGTTTGTAAATCGCGTAATAGTATATGTATTTATTCTATCCAATTCACTCACTGATTCATAGTGTTATGATATTTTGGGTAGAAGGCACTCTTTTATGAAAAGGAGCGAATTCATTTGCTATTTAAGTAATACTAATATTTTGGACCCAATTCTTTCCACTTACGCGATACTATGGTAGTTAGGACTCCAAATAGTAAACAGAGCACTGGGATAGCTCCAATCATCTTGCTGTGATCTTTAATGGGAACTGACTATCTATCAAAGCTTTAACTTAGTTCTAGTAGTTGCATTGAAAAGCTTCATTTTGAGTCGGGTTTTTCGCACTCTGACGTTATTATTACACTTTGTTAAGACTTAAGAGTACATCAGTTAAGCATTGGACTGACAACGCTTAAACTGATTTCTCTGTTGGACTTCGATGCAGAACCAATGCAAAAATATACAAATTATTTTGCATTCACTTGTTTTATATCTTAAAATGGGGTATATATTTTCTAAATTTATTTTAAGTTAAATGAGCTAGAGAACAATTTATGGAATGCAAATAAAAAATAAGATTTTAAAATAGAACACTACGGTTGATGTAGTGAAGTTCATAACAATGGCCTTTCATGAAGATGAAATATGGGCATCCAATTTTTATAAAACTTAAAAGATTCGCACAAAAATGATTTTTAAACAATATATCTGAAGCAAAAATAAAAAATTCCATCAAATTTGATCAGATTGTTTAAACGGCGGCAAATGAATTTAGTCGCCTAATCCGCAAGTTTGAACTTAATCATATGACCGTTAAGAAGATAATATTATATTACTTCATTGTCTATGTTTATTTGATGTTTCTTAATATCCAGCCTATATATGGAAATACGCGCGTGAATACGAATAATGCAGTATCTTCTCTCGAACCAGGTATAGTGCTGACGGCAGGAAGTCCGACCAGGAAGAAGTTCTGTGGCTTTTCGTTTAACACTTCGACTCCCATCAGTGGTGATCCGAAAAATTTTTCGGTTTTCTCTAGGTGCCGTGGCACAAAGATGATTCTCATTGAGAGTTAACCGGACTGCAAGGAAGTACAGTACTCCTGACTAATCGTGATCACCTCCACCTTCGAGCGAAACTCCTCTTCCGGCAGATTCGGTGAAATCTTGTTCGAATGCATGAATCCCACCATTTTCAACTTCTGAGCTGGTTGTCCTTGTGTTTCGTGGTTGGAAGGCAAAGAGGTGCCACAAAGTCCGAAAAGTTCACGCTTCGCACTAGCTTGGCCAGTGCGATGTCGTTATCGAAGGCTGTGGGATTAATATGTCCCTTGAACTTCGGGTGCACCGCCAGCTCTTCTATGTCGATCGCTTTCGGGACGGGGGCGCACACATCGAGGAGACAGTCTTCCTCGTCGAAGTTCCTGTTGGCGCGCCAGTCCCCGAAAAGGATGAACAGGGCATCCACTTCGGCGCGGTTCAGGACACAGTGGGCGGGAAGGATCGCATGGCGCGGCTTGATGAGAACCGCAAGGCATAGGAATTTGGCGCTGGAATTTCTCGATTCCCCGTAGCCAACCAATCCACGAAATCTCATCAGGTTCTGTGATCTCTTTCAGATTGGTTAGCTGCCATTCCTTCAGTTTCCCACACGACTGTCCCTAGATTTCTGAAAACGAATATAACATAAACAAACAAGAAAGAAAAGCTAACTTCGGACGGAGCCGAAGTTGATATACCCTTGCAGAATATTCTGTAAATTATATTCTTCAAAATTATTCATATGATGTATTCTTAATACTCATAAAAAGTCCAAACTTCCTAACTTTAAAAACAATAAAGTTATGGCATTTCCAATCGTTCAGTAATATGGCAGCTATAGGATATAGTCGGCCGATCCTTATGAAATTTGGTAGGTCGGATTGATTGGCTAAAAATAAAACCCATAGAAAATCCCAACTTCCTAACTTTACAAACACCCAAGTTATGGCATATCCAATCAATCAGTTATATGGCGGCTATAAGATATAGTTGTCCGATCCTTATGAAATTCGGTAGGTCGGATTAATTGGCCAAAAATAAAACTTATAGAAAATCCCAACTTCCTAACTTTAAAAACACCAACGTTATGGCTTTTCCGATCGTTCAGTTATATGGCAGCTATATGATATAGTCGCCCGATCCGGCTCGTTCCGACTTATATACTACCTGCAATAGAAAGACAACTTTTGGGAAAGTTTCAAGCAGATAGCTTTAAAACTGAGGGACTAGTTTGCGTAGAAACGGACGGACGGACGGACAGACGGACAGACGGACATGGCTATATCAACTCAGGAGGTGATCCTGATCAAGAATATATATACTTTATAGGGTCGGAAATGTCTCCTTCACTGCGATGCAAACTTTTGACTGAAATTATAATACCCTCTGCAAGGGTATAAAAACATCTGTTAGATTCTGATTTAGGTTTGTGAAAAGAGAAAAGTGTAGCTAGCTAGATAGATCAAGTGTCGGGTTAGATTTTAAGTAAACGAAGTTAGAACCAGTTGGGAATTATAGTTCGGCATGCTTGATTTGAAATGCTGTGCAAGCCTGTTGTGTGTTGGTTTTGGACTTTCTGCTTGGATAAGATGAATCAAATAAATGTACTTTTCTTATCGGAATTAAAGCATTCTTTGTTAGTCACAATTATTTATAGCATATGCATTCACTTTCTGCTTTTTATACCCTTACAGAGGGTATTATAATTTTGGTCAAGAGTGTGCAACGCAGTGAAGGAGACATCTCGGACCCTATAAAGTATATATATTCTTGATCAGGATCGCCTCCTGAGTTGATATAAGCATGTCCGTCTGTCTGTTTCTACGCAAACTATTCTCTCAGTTTTAAAGATATCGAATTGAAACTTTGCACACATCCTTCTTTCCCTTTCACGCAGTATATAAGTCGGAACGGCCTGGATCGGCCGACCTACCTATCGGCAGCCATAACTTTGATGTTTGTAAAGTTAAGAAGTTGGGATTATGTATGGGTTTTACTTTTGGCCAATCATCGGATCGGACGACTGTATCCTATAGCTGCCATAGAACTGATTGATCGGAAATGCCATAACTTTGGTGTTTGTTAAGTTAGGAAGTTGGGATTTTCTATGAGTATTAAGAATGCATTATATGAATAGTTTTCGAGAATATAATTTACAGAATATTCTGCAAGGGTATATCAACTTCGGCTCCGCCCAAAGTTAGCTTTTCTTTCTTGTTAGTTCTATGTTAATTTCTATTATGCCGAATAGATTTTCACTTAAGTAATACCTACTAATATTTTTAAAAGACCAATAGTTTGACCTTATTCTTGGCAACTTACGCGATAATAAAGTAGTAAGAACTGCAAATATTAAATAGAGCACTGGAATACCTCCAAACATCTTGTAATGATATTGAATGTTCTATGAGAGCTTTATCTTAGTTCAAGATTTTGCATTGAAGAGCTGCAGCTTAAGTCGGGTTTTTTGCAATCTAGTATTTTAAAACATTCTAAGCAATAACAGGTTTCTCTTTTCATTTTATGCAGTTTAAGTCGAATGAATTAAGCATTCTATTACTGAGTTTACCTGTAAAAATATAAAAATTACCAGGCAAGTATTAAACACAAATGTATATAATTGTTTTGTATTTGCCTACTTATTTAATTTCCTGAAAATTTCACACAATTTCTATATCTTATACTTGCAAATTATTCTTGATAATGATCGGTTCATTGAAGGCTAACAATTTTTAAATCGCAGCATTACCTTAAAAGTTGCAAATTAGAAAACTTGCTTTAAATATTTGAATGAGGGATAGGGCATTGCAAGCCCTCCATTTGTTGTGCTTGCACCGCAGCTCCGGAGATAGCGCTTCATACAATTTTCGAAATGCAATTTTGCAATTTTTTAGTTGAATAACAGGTACTCTATTAAGTTTCTCTGTTTTTAAAAGTAAAATGTATCGCAAAACTGACTCCAAAACAGTAAAGCTACTTTACTTAAGCATGGACGCCATATAATGGATATAATCTAGTTATTAAACTAACCTGATGTCGCATAATTTGATGAAGATTAAGCAAAGATTGACATATAAATATTTAAATTTTGATATTTAAATTAATCGATCAGCAAACAATATTTAGCAAATAATTCAGCTGACTATCATAGAATATCCAACTTAGTTAGAGATAATATATTTTATATATTGTTATAAAAATGAATCAAAATGATTTCCTAGACTGAGAATAATAAAATTTTTAAAAAAAGTTTAAGATATGTGTGTACATAAATAAGCATTTATACTTGTCCAGTTTGAATTCATCAAATTGGTGTACCTAAACATATCCTTGTGCAAAATAACTTTTTCTCTTTCCTTTATGGAGAACTTAGATTTTGTCTATTCAATGTTCTTACTGTGTCGCATACACTATACTGTGTCCTCATGAATTACTAAAACCTATATTAAAAAGGTTTTAATTCCTGTAATTCTAACTATCATGAACACCACCAAATCACTCAATTTATACTCCTACTTTATCATTTAAAAAAAGGCCCTAATTGTTTTTGTTATAAAAAAAAACAAAATAAAATACTTTTTGGTCCAAAAACTATATTTGTATTTGTAGACCACCCAACAAGTACAACGACAATAAAACACTCATTAGAATTAATTAATAGCTTATGCTGATATATTTTTGTGTGATCAAGTTTATTTAAAGCACAATGTTGTTTTAAGTTTTCTCTGAACGACTTAAGTGCACTGATTGGCAAGAAATAATGACGTCAGAAGACTTAGAAATTAATCATAAATACTACTTGATTTTTCGTGTTTCGTTTTTGTCTACAATATTTTTAAGAATCCAGTTTCTAAATGGAAATATGCGCGTGAATACGAATAAAGCTTTATTCCTCTCGGAACCTATTATTCCTCCGTAGCTAGGAAGTCCGACTAGGTAGAAGTTCCGTGGCTTTCCGTCCTCCACTTCGATGCCCATCAGTGGTGATCCGAGATTCAGGAATGCCGCTCTTGTCATGGCGCAAAGATGATCCTGGGTGAGGTTCAACTGGTCCTGCAAGGAGGCACAGAATTCCAGACTTGCTATGTGCACATCCACCTTCGTACGAAATCCTTCTTCCTGCTCAAAACTCGGTAGATTATTTTTCCTCCGCAAGAATCCCACCATTTTCAACTTCTGAGCTATGTGGTTGTCCTTGTGTTTCGTGGTTGGAAGGCAAAGAGGTGCCACAAAGTCCGAGAAGTCCACGCTTCGCACCAGCTTGGCCACTGCGATGTCGTTGTCGATGGCATTGGGATTCCTCAGTCCCATGTACTTCGGGTGCACCACCAGCTCTTCTATGTCGATCGCTTCCGGGACTGGGGCACACACATCGAAGAGACAGTCTTCCTCGTCGAAGTTCCTGTTGGCACGCCAGTCCCCGAAAAGGATGAACAGGGCATCCACTTCGGCGCGGTTCAGGACACAGTGGGCGGGAAGGATCGCATGGCGCGGCTTGATGAGAACCGCAAGGCAGTAGAAATTGGTACTCCCATTACTCGAATCTCCGTACCCCACGCGACCAATCCACGGGAACTCATCCGGTTCTGTGTACTCCTTTAGATTGTTCAGCTGACTTTCCTGCAGCTTTCCACACGACTGTCCCTGAATTTCTATTAACGAAAAAACATAATAGTTAGACTTTTAAATACAGTTTCTTGTTGATATTAGAATTGTCTTTTCATATTCGTTACGAAATATTTACACTAATTCTTTAACTTAACTCCACTTTTCCCTTTGGAATTCAAGCATACTTTGTAAATCGCGTAATAGTATATGTATTTATTCTATCCAATTCACTCACTGATTCATAGTGTTATGATATTTTGGGTAGAAGGCACTTATTTATAAAAAGAAGTGAATTGATTTGCTAGTTAAGTAATACTAATATTTTGTAAGGGTTAAAAGTTGACCCAATTCTTTCCACTTACGCGATACTATGGTAGTTAGGACTCCAAATAGTAAACAGAGCACTGGGATAGCTCCAATCATCTTGCTGTGATCTTTAATGGGAACTGACTATCTATCAAAGCTTTAACTTAGTTCTAGTAGTTGCATTGAAAAGCTTCATTTTGAGTCGGGTTTTTCGCACTCTGACGTTATTATTACACTTTGTTAAGACTTAAGAGTACATCAGTTAAGCATTGGACTGACTACGCTTAAACTGATTTCTCTGTTGGACTTCGATGCAGAATCAATGCAAAAATATACAAATTATTTTGCATTCACTTGTTTTATATCTTAAAATGGGGTATATATTTTCTAAATTTGTTTTAAGTTTAATGAGCTAGAAAACAATTTATGGAATGCAAATAAAAAATAAGATTTTAAAATAGAACACTACGGTTGATGTAGTGAAGTTCATAACAATGGCCTTTCATGAAGATGAAATATGGGCATCCAATTTTTATAAAACTTAAAAGATTCGCACAAAAATGATTTTTAAACAATATATCTGAAGCAAAAATAAAAAATTCCATCAAATTTGATCAGATTGTTTAAACGACTGCAAATGAATTTAGTAGCATAATCCGCAAGTTTGAACTTAATCATATGACCGTTAAGAAGATAATATTATATTACTTCATTGTCTATGTTTATTTGATGTTTCTTAATATCCAGCCTATATATGGAAATACGCGCGTGAATACGTGGCACAAAGATGATTCTCATTGAGAGTTAACCGGACTGCAAGGAAGTACAGTACTCCTGACTAATCGTGATCACCTCCACCTTCGAGCGAAACTCCTCTTCCGGCAGATTCGGTGAAATCTTGTTCGAATGCATGAATCCCACCATTTTCAACTTCTGAGCTATGTGGTTGTCCTTGTGTTTCGTGGTCGGAAGGCAAAGAGGTGCCACAAAGTCCGAAAAGTTCACGCTTCGCACTAGCTTGGCCAGTGCGATGTCGTTGTCGAAGGCTGTGGGATTAATATGTCCCTTGAACTTCGGGTGCACCGCCAGCTCTTCTATGTCGATCGCTTTCGGGACGGGGGCGCACACATCGAGGAGACAGTCTTCCTCGTCGAAGTTCCTGTTGGCGCGCCAGTCCCCGAAAAGGATGAACAGGGCATCCACTTCGGCGCGGTTCAGGACACAGTGGGCGGGAAGGATCGCATGGCGCGGCTTGATGAGAACCGCAAGGCATAGGAATTTGGCGCTGGAATTTCTCAATTCCCCGTAGCCAACCAATCCACGAAATCTCATAAGGTTCTGTGATCTCTTTCAGATTGGTTAGCTGCCATTCCTCCAGTTTCCCACACGACTGTCCCTGGATTTCTGAAAACGATTTAGGTTTGTGAAAAGAGAAAAGTGTAGCTAGCTAGATAGATCAAGTGTCGGGTTAGATTTTAAGTAAACGAAGTTAGAACCAGTTGGGAATTATAGTTCGGCATGCTTGATTTGAAATGCTGTGCAAGCCTGTTGTGTGCTGGTTTTGGACTTTCTGCTTGGATAAGATGAATCAAATAAATGTACTTTTCTTATCGGAATTGAAGCATTCTTTGTTAGTCACAATTATTTATAGCATATGCATTCACTTTCTGCTTTTTATACCCTTACAGAGGGTATTATAATTTTGGTCAAGAGTGTGCAACGCAGTGAAGAAGACATCTCGGACCCTATAAATAATATATATTCTTGATCAGGATCGCCTCCTGAGTTGATATAAGCATGTCCGTCTGTCTGTTTCTACGCAAACTATTCTCTCAGTTTTAAAGATATCGAATTGAAACTTTGCACACATCCTTCTTTCCCTTTCACGCAGTATATAAGTCGGAACGGCCTGGATCGGCCGACCTACCTATCGGCAGCCATAACTTTGATGTTTGTAAAGTTAAGAAGTTGGGATTATGTATGGGTTTTACTTTTGGCCAATCATCGGATCGGACGACTGTATCCTATGGCTGCCATAGAACTGATTGATCGGAAATGCCATAACTTTGGTGTTTGTTAAGTTAGGAAGTTGGGATTTTCTATGAGTATTAAGAATGCATTATATGAATAGTTTTGGAGAATATAATTTACAGAATATTCTGCAAGGGTATATCAACTTCGGCTCCGCCCAAAGTTAGCTTTTCTTTCCTGTTAGTTCTATGTTAATTTCTATTATGCCGAATAGATTTTCACTTAAGTAATACCTACTAATATTTTTAAAAAGACCAATAGTTTGACCTTATTCTTGGCAACTTACGCGATAATAAAGTAGTAAGAACTGCAAATATTAAATAGAGCACTGGAATACCTCCATACATCTTGTAATGATATTGAATGGGAACTGATGTTCTAAGAGATCTTTATCTTAGTTCAAGATTTTGCATTGAAGAGCTGCAGCTTGAGTCGGGTTTTTTGCAATCTAGTATTTTAAAACATTCTAAGCTATAACATGTTTCTCTTTTCATTTTTATGCAGTTTATTTGAAAGAGGGATAGGGCATTGCAAGCCCTCCATTTGTTGTGCTTGCACCGCAGCTCCGGAGATAGCTCTTCATACAATTTTCGAAATGCAATTTTGCAATTTTTTAGTTGAATAACAGGTACTCTATTAAGTTTCTCTGTTTTTAAAAGTAAAATGTATCGCAAAACTGACTGCAAAACAGTAAAGCTACTTAACTTAAGCATGGACGCCATATAATGGATATAATCTAGTTATTAAACTAACCTGATGTCGCATAATTTGATGAAGATTAAGCAAAGATTGACATGTAAATATTTAAATTTTGATATTTAAATTAATCGATCAGCAAACAACTTTTAGCAAATAATTCAGCTGACTATCATAGAATATCCAAAGTAGTTAGAGATAATATATTTTATATATTGTTATAAAAATGAATCAAAATGATTTCCTAGACTGAGAATAATAAAATTTTTAAAAAAAGTTTAAGATATGTGTGTACATAAATAAGCATTTATACTTGTCCAGTTTGAATTCCTCAAATTGGTGTACCTAAACATATCCTTGTGCAAAATAACTTTTTCTCTTTCCTTTATGGAGAACTTAGATTTTGTCTATTCAATGTTCTTACTGTGTCGCATACACTATACTGTGTCCTCATGAATTACTAAAACCTATATTAACGAGGACGGAAGCTAACTTCGGCAAGCCGAAGATTTAATACCCTTGCAGACTTTGCCGAAATTGCTAAAAGTGAAAAAGTAGCGAAAGGAATAAGGTATATAGGTACCTTATGAGGTATATAGATATATAAGGAAAGGAATAAGGTATATAAGGTACTAGCAAGGTGCCCGCAGCTTTGCTTGCGGTGAATAATTTTGAATGTAGATATGTCTGTATATTTTGCGGATAGCTCTCCATATCTGTATATTCCTTATTCGCATTTATCTTAAAGCTGGAGTTCTTATTTAAAAGTAATAGAGTATTAACTATATAATTTAATGTAATTGAGGTTTTCTTTCTTTACACTCTCAGTTTTTAACTGAAACTAAAATGAATCCCCATTTCCACACAACCCGGAGGTAGGGGATACGGCGCGTTTTTATTTAAGGTGGTTTCCCCAAATAGGCCTAGTCCACAATTAAAACATTTTTAATATATTCTTATTTTAAAACCTCTCTGTAAACGACATTCTTTATTTGACCATCATGAGAAAGGATCATAAGGCTCTTTGCCGAGCTGACTCTTGAACAGGCCACATAAAATTGGCCGTGGGAGAAACACTCGTCCCTAAGGTCTAATCCAGCTACTTTCAAAGTCTGTCCTTGTGATTTATTTATTGTTATCGCAAAACAAACCTTTACAGGAAACTGTAGGCGTATGAATACTGTCTCTCCCTTGGCGCAGCCAGTAAAAATAACGGCTTCAATAACAAATTTGTGAAGAGTTTTCACTTGCAATCTTGTTCCATTGCATAATTTTGGGGGTTTTATGTTTCTTAATAACATAATTGGTGTTCCGACCTTAAGCGAATGAATATGCAGTGGGAGTCCAGCTGGATTCTGCTGGTTAAGAAATTCTACAGGATAATGTACAGCATTTTCTGGCTCAGTAACAGAGTCTATTGATTTGTATGTAACTTCCTCTCCATTAAATGATTTTATTAACTGATCATTAATTGAAGCAGCTCTGTCATTTCTTGAAGTTAAAATGGCTCGTTCTGATAACCAGTCCAATGACTTATGTAAGATTTCTGAAATATCAGGAAAAATTTTAGAAGTAAGCTTTTCCAATGTGCTTACTACAGTACCCAAGCTTGATGACAATTTTATTTTGCCCTCAAGCGTCGGATAATCTCCACTTCCTATTTTAAGTAGAGTTTGGGCAAAAACACCGGCAGTTTCATCACCTAGTAATTGTACGCGCATATTTTTTGTAAGAGCCATTTTGTGTATTTTACACCACAAAAGGAAGATTTTATGCAAGATTTTATCTCATCAGCCCTTGTTCCTCGGGGTACAACTGGGAGTGTTTGTCTAAAATCTCCAGCTAATAGAACGGTAATACCTCCCATTAATAAGTCATTGCCTTTTATGTCTTTTATCGATCGATCAAGAGCTTCAAATCCACCTTTATGAGCCATAGTACATTCATCCCAAACAATGAGTTTACAATGTTTAAGGACGAATGCCATATTAGACTGTTTGGAAATGTTACAATAAGGTGTTTCTATATTTATTAAATCAAAAGGAAGCTTAAATGCTGAATGGGCTGTCCGTCCTCCGGTTAAGAGCGTGGCCGCAATTCCTGAAGATGCAACAGCTAATGCAATTTTTTTATCTTGTCTAATTTTTGCCAATAGCAAATTTAAAAGAAACGTTTTCCCAGTGCCACCAGGAGCATCCAAAAAATACATTCCTCCGTTTCCAGCGTCAATGCTGTCCTAGATTGTTTTATAACAGTTTTTTTGTTCAAGAGTAAGGGAATTTTCCTCGTTTCTTACTTGAGCTTCATTGCATTCAAAATTTATTTCTCGCAAGTAATCAATGTTTTCCAAAAACTCTTTATCTCTAATTGCCTTGGGTAAACCATAACTTGATAAGACATCTCCGCCCATTGACAATATGAGATCTTCAATACAAATTAAACATTTATTAAAAACTTTTTCTATAATTTCTGGATCTATATCGTCATCTATTTTAGATTTTAGTCTATACAATATATCTTCTGAAGACTTTCCTTGTACTTATTCCAAAGAAGCATAGCATCAGATAACTGACAATTAGTTAACATAATTGCAAAGAGGTCACGCAATTTATTTGGAGACTGGCATAATGCTGCTTCTTCCAATGTGCAGTCCCAGAGCTTATCATCTTCTAGTAAGCATAAAGCTTTGCAAGTTAATTGGAATTTTTTACACAAAACACCATTTACTGTTTTTAAAAAAGAGCATGATGTTGGACCCCGAACTTCGTGAAGTAAAAGTCTTAAATAATAACATTCACTATTTTTTTAACACCAGAAAACTCTGGTACATCTAACCCATTCTTTCTTCTTTGGAATTTTTTATTAGCCCAAATGTAATAGGATGGCACCTCAACATAAAGAAGTGTTTTTGCAAAGTGGTCAATTTTGCAAAGATCGAAGAACGCTGTAAGCGTAGTTTTTGCCGGATTAGTTAGTTGATTAGCTAATTGATTGGGTTTATTTGGGTCAAAGTATATCCGCTGACCATTTTCCAAATGAACACTTAAATGAAAAATAGGGGGATATCTTTCATGTATTGGAAACGATAAAATCCTCCATACTGCCTCTGAGCTACTTATATATCGACCACTTTGGTACAAATGGACCTCATCTTTAAGACTCTCGACTGCAACTGTTGCTTGGTCACTGCCCTTGTTAACATATTTACAAATGTATTTAATGGACTTTACTGAGTTGCAATGTTCCACATTTATATGAGCTCCGAAGGTCCGCCAAAGCACGGAATTGTACGACACAACCCAACGATTATCTACAGTTATGCCATTAATTTTAACAGTAAGCCCCCATCCATTGGGGATCTTCGCCGATATTGGGTATAACCATCATTTCCTGTAATAGTTTCCTTAAAAAAAACTTTTTAGGAAATTTTTTTGTGCATTTACCTTCTTTCATACATGGCGAATTAATATTTAATACACCACATGACCCATGTATCATGTTAGTCTTAACAATCTCATGCAGCAAAGGATCCTTTTGTAAATCAGGAATTTCTGCACAAATGTAAGAATCGATTTGATTAGGCATAATTTTAATCTTTAACCATATAAGTATGTGTACGTGGGGGAGACCACGTTTTTGCCATTCAATAGAATACATGAAGCACTGCACTTCCCCAAATAACCGGCCGTTAATAAACAACGCCATTGAAGCCTTAACCTTCAAATGAAAAACTCGTGAAATGATGTCATGTCGATCTTGAGGCTTTTGGCCTGGAAATAACTCATTTGTTATATCCTCCCATTTTGGGTTACATGTAAATGTAATAAAAAGATCAGGACGACCATAATGCCGAACATAAGTCATGGCATCTTGTGTCTTTTCATGCATACATCGAGGTGAACCTGTAAAAGTAGATGGCAAAATAATCATTTGACCAAGTTGAGCCACATCCGCATCACCCCTACCAATAGCGTCTTGAAGATGAATATAACTTTCTGCACTCAACTTTTTTTGATTTGCTCTTTTTAGATAAATATTTTTAATAGGGTCACGTTGAGGTATATTTACTGAATAACCGTCCTCTCCGTAGCAAAAAAGTAATCGATATTGTAGGCAGTCATAAGATCGATGAAGTTCACAGATTCGTTTAAGTTTGTTATTATGACTCTCAATAACAATGTCTCGATTTTGAAATTGTTGGTTAACTAATACCAATGCTACTTCATTTGTTTAATTTTAAGTTTTAAAAAGAAATCAAGATCAGCCGCCGCTCAATTATTGTAGTAAACAGAGTCAGAGAGAGGGAGAGAGACAGTGCGAGAGAATGCATTCGGTGTTCAATGCTTGTGTATAATTTGTTGGAATAACTATTCCTACTTTAGGCTAATGTAACTTTTTTTAGAATTGACCTAGAGCTTCAGTAAAACTACCATATGAATCCTTAAAGTATCAGGATTCCCTCGATAAATTTTCATATTGCTAATTGACTTAGATCAGTGTTTTTTTGCCGTTTGGAAAAAATGAGAAAGATTCTTAGATTTTCAAAGATCGATAAAAAATAGTAAACATTAAAATATCGAATATTAAATTAAATAGAAACTTTATTATGTAGAGGACTAAATTTTGGCCAAAAATCGCATCGATTGATAAACGCGTTTAGCGTCCAGATTTTTTTATAGAAATTGGGGGTTTTTTGCCACTGGAAGTAAATGGGGGCATGTTTGTGGCCAAAATAAATCTTAGCAAATCAGTTTAGTGTTATAAGAATTGAATGGTAAAAAATTTTAATAGGGTCATTTAATTAGTTTAGGCTGTGCGTTGATTCTTAGTTTTCAATGAACAGTTTTATATATAGAGATAAGTAAACTAGATTTGCATCGTTTCAAGTCAATTGCTTTTATACTGCAAAAATGTCATATACAAATAGAAAAAAAGGGATACTTTCGCAGCCTTTAACAATTTTTCCTATCTCCTTTAAGATATAGACTACCGAGCGGCAAGCGCTTTTACCCTACTCAAGACATGCGTAAATAAACAAGAATTGGAAAAATTTATGTTAGTAGCTTACACACTGCGCGAAATATTCTGATAATCGTCAAATTTGGACCGATTTCACCCTATTGTTCCTATGGGAGCTATATGATATAGACGTCCGATCGGCACGCGCTTTCACCTTGATCAATGTATGCATACAAAAATACGATTTGTAAAGATTCATGTCAATAGCTTGTATACTGCGCGAAATATCCTAAAAATCATTAAATTTTAGCCGATTTTACCCTTTTGTTCCTATGGGAGCTATAGGATATAGACGTCCGATCGTCACGCGCTTTTACCCTGATCAAGGTACGCATAAAAAAATAAGATTTGGAAAGATTTATGTCAATAGCTTTTACACTGCGCGAAATATCTTCCAATCTTGCAAGTTATATCCGATTGTTCCTATGGGAGCTATAGGATATAGACATCCGATCGGGGCGGTTTTCAAACTTGATCTGCGTACACTTGTTTTAGGACGACTGTGAAAGTTTCAGATCGCTAGCTTTTAAACTGAGCTCGCAAACGGTATTGAAACAGACGGACAGACGGACAGACGGACATGGCTATATCGACTCCCCTATTGATCCTGATCAAGAATACATACACTTTATAGGGTTGGAAACGTCTCCTTCACTGCGTTACAAACTTCTGATCAAATTTATAATACCCTCTGCAAGGGTATAAAAAGGTTTTAATTCCTGTAATACTAACTATCATGAACACCACCAAATCACTCAATTTATACTCCTACTTTATCATTAAAAAAAAGGCCTTAATTGTTTTTGTTATAAAAAAAAACAAAATAAAATACTTTTTGGTCCAAAAACAATATTTGTATTTGTAGACCACCCAACAAGTACAACGACAATAAAACACTCATTAGAATTAATTAATAGCTTATGCTGATATATTTTTGTGTGATCAAGTTTATTTATAGCACAATGTTGTTTTAAGTTTTCTCTGAACGACTTAAGTGCACTGATTGGCAAGAAATAATGACGTCAGAAGACTTAGAAATTAATCGTAAAAACTACTTGATTTTCCGTGTTTCGTTTTTGTCTACAATATTTTTAAGAATCCAGTTTCTAAATGGAAATATGCGCGTGAATACGAATAAAGCTTTATTCCTCTCGTCACCTGTTATTGCTCCGTAGGTAGGAAGTCCGACTAGGTAGAAGTTCCGTGGCTTTCCGTCCTCCACTTCGATGCCCATCAGTGGTGATGCGAAAAAGTTCAGGAATGCCGCACTTGCCATGGCGCAAAGATGATCCTGGGTGAGGTTCAACTTGTCCTGCAAGGAGGCACAGAATTCCAGACTTACTATGTGCACATCCACCTTCGTACGAAACCCCTCGGCCAGCTCAAAACTCGGTAGAATTTGCAAGAATCCCACCATTGTCAACTTCTGAGCTATGTGGTTGTCCTTGTGTTTCGTGGTTGGAAGGCAAAGAGGTGACACAAAGTCCGAGAAGTCCACGCTTCGCACCAGCTTGGCCACTGCGATGTCGTTGTCGATGGCAGAGGGATTCCTCAGTCCCATGAACTTCGGATGCACCACCAGCTCTTCTATGTCGATCGCTTCCGGGACAGGGGCACACACATCGAAGAGACAGTCTTTCTCATCGAAGTTCCGGTTGGCGCGCCAGTCCCCGAAAAGGATGAACCGGGCATCCACTTCGACGCGGTTCAGGACACAGTGGGCGGGAAGGATCGCATGGCGCGGCTTGATGAGAACCGCAATGCAGTAGAAATCGGTACTCCCATTACTCGAATCTCCGTACCCCACGCGACCAATCCACGGGAACTCATCCGGTTCTGTGTACTCCTTTAGATTGTTCAGCTGACTTTCCTGCAGCTTTCCACACGACTGTCCCTGAATTTCTATTAACGAAAAAAACATAATAAACATAATTCCAGCTTGTTGTTGATATTAGAGTTGTCTTTTCATATTCGTTTCGCAATATTTACATTTATTCTTTAACTCCTTCAAAGCGATTAAACAAAAAACAAGAAAGGAAAGCTAACTTCGGACGGAGCCGATGTTGATATACCCTTGCAGAATATTCTGTAAATTATATTCTTCAAAATTATTCATATGATGTATTCTTAATACTCATAAAAAGTCCCAACTTCCTAACTCCAATCGTTCAGTTATATGGCAGCTATAGGATATAGTCGGCCGATCCTTATGAAATTTGGTAGGTCGGATTGATTGGCCAAAAATAAAAAATTAACTTCCTAACTTTACAAACACCCAAGTTATGGCATTTCCGATCAATCAGTTATATGGCGGCTATAGGATATAGTCGTCCGATCCTTATGAAATTCGGTAGGGTGGATTAATTGGCCAAAAATAAAACTCATAGAAAATCCCAACTTCCTAACTTTAAAAACACCAACGTTATGGCTTTTTCGATCGTTCAGTTATATGGCAGCTATATGATATAGTCGCCCGATCCGGCTCGTTCCGACTTATATACTACCTGCAATAGAAAGACAACTTTTGGGAAAGTTTCAAGCAGATAGCTTAAAAACTGAGGGACTAGTTTGCGTAGAAACGGACGGACGGACGGACAGACGGACGGACAGACGGACAGACGGACATGGCTAGATGGACTCTCCTGGTGATGCTGATCAAGAATATATATACTTTATAGGGTCGGAAATGTCTCCTTCACTGCGTTGCAAACTTTTGACTGAAATTATAATACCCTCTGCAAGGGTATAAAAAGAAAAGAATTATCAGACCAAAATTACTGGGTTTCGTTTAAACTACGGGTTTTGCACACATTCATTTTAAAACAATGTATCTGAAGCAAATCATACGAATTCGATCGAATTGTATGAGATTATTCAAACGACGGCCAGTGTATTTAGTCCAAGTTCTTAAACTTATTATAATGACGCTTTAGAAGGTGATACTCACTAAATTTAATAAATTTATTTAAATTAAAGCACATTTCGCTAAGCCACAACCACAACTCCGAAATCAGAAAGGTGAAGTAAAATATTTTTTAACATGACTACTTGATAAGGAAGTGAATTTTTTATCATAAAGTAAATTTAAGGGTTACAAATCGAACTCCAGTTGGGCATTTTAGCTTCACATTCTCGGTAAGATTTAAGGAACTAAACAAACTTTTGGTGTGCCCTTACCGGACTTTGCTCCAAGTGAATAAAATAAATTACCCACATGCACTTTTCTCATTGGAATTCAAGCACACTTTGTAAATCGCGTAATAGTATATGTATTTATTCTATCCAATTCACTCACTGATTCATAGTGTTATGATATTTTGGGTAGAAGGCACTCATTTATGAAAAGGAGCGAATTGATTTGCTATTTAAGTAATCCTAATATTTTGGACCCAATTCTTTCAACTTACGCGATACTATGGTAGTTAGGACTCCAAATAGTAAACAGAGCACTGGGATAGCTCCAATCATCTTGCTGTGATCTTTAATGGGAACTGACTATCTATCAAAGCTTTAACTTAGTTCTAGTAGTTGCATTGAAAAGCTTCATTTTGAGTCGGGTTTTTTGCACTCTGACGTTATTATTACACTTTGTTAAGACTTAAGAGTACATCAGTTAAGCATTGGACTGACTACGCTTAAACTGATTTCTCTGTTGGACTTCGATGCAGAATCAATGCAAAACAAGAAAGGAAAGCTAACTTCGGGCGGAGCGGAAGTTGATATACCCTTGCAGAATATTCTATAAATTATATTCTCCAAAATTATTCATATGATGCATTCTTAATACTCATAAAAAATCCCAACTTCCTAACTTTAAAAACACCAAAGTTATATCATTTCCAATCGTTCAGTTATATGGCAGCTATAGGATATAGTCGGCCGATCCTTATTAAATTTGGTAGGACGGATTGATTGGCCAAAAATAAAACCGATAGAAAATCCCAACTTCCTAACTTAACAAACACCAAAGTTATGGCATTTCCGATCGTTCACTTATATGGCAGCTATAGGGGCTAGTCGGCCGATCCCGGCCGTTCCGACATATATACTGCGTGCAAAGGAAAAAAGGGTGTGTGCAAAGTTTCAATTCGATATCTTTAAAACTGAGAGACTAGTTCGCGTAGAAACAGACAGACGGACAGACAGACGGACAGACGGACTATATCAACTCAGGAGGTGATCCTGATCAAGAATATATATACTTTATAGTGTCGGAGATGTCTCCTTCACTGCGTTGCACCATTTTGACCAAAATTATAATACCCTCTGCAAGGGTATAAATATACAAATTATTTTGCATTCACTTGTTTTATATCTTAAAATGGGGTATATATTTTTTTTCCCCTTGCAGAGGGTATTATAATTTCAGTCAAAAGTTTGCAAAGCAGTGAAGGAGACATTTCCGACCCTATAAAGTATATATATTCTTGATCAGCATCACCAGGAGAGTCGATCTAGCCGTGTCCGTCTGTCCGTCCGTCTGTCCGTCTGTCTGTCCGTCTGTCCGTCCGTTTCTACGCAAACTAGTCCCTCAGTTTTAAAGCTATCTGCTTGAAACTTTCCCAAAAGTTGTCTTTCTATTGCAGGTAGTATATAAGTCGGAACGAGCCGGATCGGGCCACTATATCATATAGCTGCCATATAACTGAACGATCGGAAATGCCATAACTTTGGTGTTTTTAAAGTTAGGAAGCTGGGATTTTCTATGGGTTTTATTTTTGGCTAATCAATCCGACCTACCAAATTTCATAAGGATCGGCCGACTATATCTTATAGCTGCCATATAACTGAACGATTGGAAATGATATAACTTTGGTGTTTTTAAAGTTAGGAAGTTGGGACTTTTTATGAGTATTAAGAATGCATCATATGAATAATTTTGGAGAATATTATCTACACAATATTCTGCAAGGGTATATCAACTTCGGCTCCGCCCGAAGTTAGCTTTCCTTTCTTGTTAAAAATGTTTCAATTGGTTTCCACAACTCTTTAATATTATTTGGCAATACCAAAATCGAATTTACTATTTACATATATTTAAAAATTCATGGTGCTTAATGCCAGACCAATTTGTGTTTCTATTGTAAAATAGTATTAAATTCTTTGTTTTTACCGGCGAAATGTTGCCAGGGATTGACAGTTTCTCGGATCCACCTGTCGGATTTTAAGTAAACAAACAAAAACCGTCTGTCTTCTGTGAATGGCAGTTTGTTATCAGCTGATAGCCTCTTTGTGCTCGCTATATTTAAAAGTAGAGATTCTCACGAATTAGCTCATTTTTCTCTTTTTAACTTTATTGCTTATTTGTTTTGAATATTAGTGGTAATCTGTGTATATTATTATCTCGGAACAGTATATTTTAATTCTGCGAAGTTTAAGGTAAAGCTGCTTGAAAAGAAGATTAACAATATCATGTTTATATATATACATGATGAAATTAATATGTACATTAATAAACAAAAAGAATACAATTTAAAACTTTTTGTCGGTGACTAAGTTGATCAAACATTGTTTTTATGTATAGGTAAATAAATATATAAATATATTCGTATATTTTTATATATGATACAAAATTATATAAAAAAGTATTTTATATTGTTTATAAAATAAAACTTATATATACACTTAGATATTTGTGTATATATAATTTTTATCTCATTAATTAGAAGGAACTTTGGACATAATGGCACAATTTGACATATGTAAATAAATATGTACATATGTTATTGAACAAAATATTATGTTATTGAACAGTATCAGTTTCATTTATACTCGCTTACCACACATGAAATTAATTGAATTTTTGATTTCACTGTAGACGGCAGAACTCGTAGTGGCGACGTTTATATTATAGGTAAATAGGTTGAAAGCGCCAATTCGTCATAACTTCATTGTTTGCTTTTTGTTGCTGGCGTGAGATGATTCATAGCTATTTTATTGTTCACAAAATTTTATTGCAGATCAAGCCAATGCTCGTCTGGGATTAGATCAGATGGGCTGTCGCCGATTTTCGGGTGGAGGACACCGCTCAAGGGGAGGTCCGCCCCCCCACCATCGTCATTTTCACGGCGGAAATCGGGGTGGTAGACACTGCTGGCATGGACCTCCTGGTGGACACCATGGCGGCGGTCACTATTGGGAGGGATATGCTCCTCCTCCACCACCGCCCCATTGTCCACCTCCTGGGAGATATCCAAGTGGCGGGCACTATTATCATGGATATCCTCCGCCTCCTCCTCACTGTCACCCACCACCTCCTCCTTCCTGTCACCCACCACCTCCTCCTCACTGTCACCCACCACCTCCTGGAAACCAAGGAGGTGGGTGCCACTATTGCGGATGCCCAAGTGGCGGTCCACCTCAGAGTGCACATCCCGAGAGCGAAACACTGCCTGGTGAAGCCCCAAATGTCGATCAACATGGTAACAATGCTCCAAGCAGCCAACTCGAAAGTCCTGCTGGCGAAATCCCCAGCAGTCAAATACCTGGCAGGAATAAATACGAAATCATTGATCTATAGAATCCGTGATTATTTAAGGGCATACGTTTATAAAATACATTTCTTAGACTTTAAATATTTTTTCTCTCGCATTTATTAATTTTAACAAAGAATGTGTTTAAATAATCAATCAATAAAAACTGACCGTATTTTTTAACACAGTTAAAAATATACGCCTATAAGAAGGGTGATTTTGATGTACGACTCTGGCCATAAATATTTGTAATACAAGCTAATTTAAGGACTACTACAACATAAAAAACCAAGAGAAAAAATCCGGGGACTTAAGATTTTAATTTCACGAGGACGGATTCCTATTTTTCCTACGAAAACTTTAAGATATAGACGTCCGATCGGCAAGCACTTTTACCCTGATCAAGATATCCGTAAATAAATAAGACTTGGAAAAATGTATGTCAATAGCTTACACACTGCGCGAAATATTCTGAAAATCATCGAATTTGGACCGATTTCACCCTATTGTTCCAATGGGAGCTATAGGATATAGACGTACGATCGGAACGCGCCAGGATCAAGGTATGCATACAAAAATAAGATTTGGAAAGATTTTTGTCAATTGCTTTCACATTGCGCGAAATATCTTCCATTATTGCAAGGTTTATCCGATTGTTTCTATAGGATATAGACATCCGAAAGATGTGGTTTTTAAACTTCTGCGTACACATGTTTTAGGACGACTGTGAAAGTTTCAGATCACTAGCTTTTAAACTGAGCTCGCAAACAGTATTGAAACAGACGGACAGACGGGCATGGCTATATCGACTCCCCTATTGATCCTGATCAATACTTTATGGGGTCGGAAACGTCTCCTTCACTGCGTTACAAACTTCTGACCAAAATTATAATACCCTATGCAAGGGTATACATATATAGTAACCATAATTCAATACATAACTTACGTTGTATTTTCTTATATTTTTGATCACCATAATTTACAATTCGGTTTCAGCTTTATTGAACAAAATTTTAAACGTTCTTACGAATTCCTTAAAACTGTGCCCATTTTGTAAAAAAATGCCATACTGATGTTTTAAAGGCCTTGGGTTTTTATTTTATTGATAGATTATGGTCAACATATGGTAAATGTAAAATTTGTTACCATATGTGTGTTGGTGCTAGTCCCTTATTCAGGTAGAAAAATCAATACACATGGTATCCTACTTAAATCCGTCAGGTACTACCTACATCGGCTACCTACATTTTCGGCTGTGGTATAAATATCACAGAATTTTTAAGACGACTTCAGTATGGAAACTTCTGGCATAATGAAATTACTGGTGAGTTCCCTGGTTGTGCAAAATAATTTAAAGGACTCTCCTTTTAATTTCTTACCTTATAGATTGCTCTGTTTGCGCTGGTGGCCACTGTTGTGGCTCAGATTGGATATGGCCAAGGCGGACAAGGAAATGTTGGTGGACAGGGAGGACTCGGTGGACAGGGAGGACTCGGTGGACAGGGAGGATTTGGAGGTCAAGTAGGATTCGGTGGACAAGGAGGATTCGGTGGACAAGGAGGATTCGGTGGACAAGGCGGATTCGGTGGACAAGGCGGACTCCATGGAAATTTAGGTTACGGCGGTCAAGCTGGATTAGGTGTTGGTCAAGGAGGAGTACCTCCGGTTCATGGAGTATTCAGTCCACAAGGACCACCAAATCGATACGAGCCCGGTTACGGAAGTGGTCCAGTTGGACCTGGTCATCCTGGAAATCATAATGAATATCCGGACCATCATCACCACGAACATCACCATCGTGAACACCATGAACACCACGGCCATCATGACCATCACAGACACTAGTAAAGAGATTATCTCTTAAGTACTCCTGAATGTACAACAAAATACTGAATTAAAAAATAAAATTCATTATTACAAGCAATGTCTCCAAATATTTGATTTGATTTTATACAAAATGTCCTGATTCCATTTATTATAAAAAGTGTCCGGATTCGATTTATAAAAGTGATTGTTTTTCCTATCACATACCCCGTGGGGATCCGCACAAGTTTTCCGCTCAAATTTCAGTGTCTAAAACGAAATAACTGAGCCACAAAAAAATAGGATAAGTAAGGAAACGGAACCCTTTACTCTGTCCATTTCGGTTCAGTCTTCTATAAATTATTTCGCAGATAAAACATATACTACAGTGGGTGGGCACCCACACCCCGTCTCAACTTTTGCAATCGGAGAAAAGGCTGCTGTCCACCGCTCCCCAGCGACATTTTCTGACCGACGCAACTGACAGAATTGAAAAATAAGCGACGCCCGACTTGTGGAGGGGGGAGGGGGGTCGTGTGGGTGGTGTCCAGGTGGGAGGGGGCTGAAGGTGAAAAATAAAAAATGGCGTCCAGTCGAGTGCTCAACCTCAAGATTTATAACGAAAGGAAAAAAAACGTGAGGGTGGGAGAAAAGAGCACACGTTAAAATAATGCAAAAGCTGAAAAAGACTAAAAAATATGCGGAAAAACACCCACACACACACACACATACACACTGGAAAAAGCGGTAAGAAAAACCGCACACACTGATACACGCAACAACGGAAATGGAAAGGATAAAATTAATTTTTCTCCTTTTTTGCCATTTACTTCACCTGCTGCTTTCCTCCCACTCGCGTTTTTCCTTCAAGGAGAACGGAAAAGTGGCCCGGGAAAGGAGGTGGGTGAAAGTGGGTGGGAAAAGGGTGACCAATCCAAGCGGCAACATTGCTGACGCTATCAAACACCACAAACACATTTAGTTTGCGGCGAATTTGTTTTTGCGTCGCTCACTTTTCTTACTGCCTTTTCTTTTAGCAATTTGCGCTATAAAAATGTGCAAAAAAATTGCAACAAAAAAAAAAACAAAATAAAAAAAGTCATTTGAACCAGGAGGAAACTTGCGGACAAATAAAAATGGCATAAAAATATTCAACTCACCTGAGAGCGCGACTCGCCGAAGGAAGTGGGTCCTTAATACACTGCTAAAATTTTATTTTGGGAGAATCTGGCAGTTTTAGCATACTACTAACATATAAAAGCATTACTAAACTGGCATGATTTCATTTCTAGAAATGCTAAAATAATTTTATTAATAAAATGTTATGTTTATCAAGAACAAACACCAACTTTGTACGTGCATACTTTAGGATTTTGGTTCTTAGTAAAACAAAAAATAGTTTCTTATCGCAAAATTTGGGGTTTATGTATCGGTCACGTTTACTAGCCCCTTTAAATGGGCGTGGCAGGGCCAAGACTTGCACGTAGCCACAAGATTTTTTATTTTTTCTCTTTCTCTAACTTTGTTCTACGGAGTCTGTACTATAAAATATCTATAATAAATCTACTTGTTCTACAACAAAAACTGAAAAGCTCACTGAAGCCTCGTCAAATAAAAAAGACAAAAAGGAGGGAATTTAATAAAAAAAAAAAGGCATGAAAATGTGTGAAGGGAAGAGGCAGAATGTAGCCGTGTCCAGTTCAAAGGGAATAAAAAGTGGAAACCAATAACAGCAATGGGGATGCAGGGGGACCAGGGATAATCCGCTGAAGCAAGTAAAAGGAAACAAAGCAAACCGAAGCGAAGTGAAGCAATAAAAATGAAATGGGAGTACCGGGAAGCAGGAAGAGCAGCCTGTCAAATGGGAAATATTATGTCCCCCCTTTGGATCGGATAACCAGATGAAAGTGGAAATGGGATGACCTCACCTAGAATCCCTTCAGAAATTCTCTACTCTCCAACCCCTGGCAAATATTGCGCATACGCAATGTGATACGACGCCATTTGGGTGGGGAATTATGAAAGTGACCGCAGGAATTATGAATTTGCTTGCTTCTCTCGGCCAATCAAAAGAGCACCCCGGAATATCAGCCAACCACAGGAAAGGCTTTGCGAACCTGCGCCTGTTGCATAAAGTTATGTGTATATATCATAATCCATAACGTGGCATACACCACCGCTGGGGAAAAAAGAAAAACCTACAAGGCCATGAACGCTTGTTGTCTTTGGCTTCAAATTACAACCACAAACACAGCGGAAATGGGGGTCTCAAGGGGCGAAGGAGGGGGGAAACAGCCCTTAAAACGCACCCACACACCACCACACTTCTCCTGAGTCAACAAAGAGGGGGAAAAGCGCAAAAGAAAGCGAGTTTCTGGGGTGGAAATCAGGCGAAGTCGGGCGGCAGCACCCTCAATGCCACCCAATTATAACCGTATGGGTGGGTGGCTTATTTGAGCTGCGACTTCAACTGCGTCGCTCGCTTTGTTATTGTTTCATTTTTCTCGTTTTCCCTTCGATTTTTCTTCTATTTATATACGTGCTTGTGTGTACGAGTGTGTTTGTATTTATGTGGGATATAGTCAAGACTCGTATAGTCAAGACTACACGTACGCACGAGCATTCGGGCAAAGTTACTGCGATACGTGCAACATCATAAAAAGGACAAAACAATAACAATAAAAATCATATATACTCATAGCCCGACCAAGACCCCACCACCCACTATTACCACCTCCAGGTCACATAGCCCCCTTCCCCCCGAAATCCCTGTGTATGTACATATGTGGGTTTATATGAAAATAAACGAAAACCGTTAAGATATGAGCGTCCACAAGGATTAGAGGACTGCTTTTCTCGGGCTACGACCATCAATGGCCAATGCCTCCAATTCATGTTTTCATATACAGCATGGGTCCACAGAGACAAAAACTTTAAGTAAATTAATTAATATCTTACGATAATTTATACCTAATGTATTTAATTGTATTTAAGTGAATTTGACTACCTTAACTAATTCCAAATGAAAATAATTATTAAAATTCGAGATACGGAATCAAATTTATGGTACATTTTGTATTTTATATTGGAAAATTGTTCATGGCATTTACACTTTAAAGTGCTAGAATAAGGTCTTTAAGTTACTCCCTAAAAATGTTTTGACTCTTTTTCAGACCATCTCTTTAAAGCTTTAACAAAGTTATAGATATAGTAACTTATTATGGCTATTTTAAGATTATAAGTCAAAGACTTATACAAATATGCTGATTCGCTTTTATTATTTGTATTATTATATCCTTGCAGAGGGTATTATAATTTTGGTCAAAAGTGTGCAACGCAGTGAAGGAGACATCTCCGACCCTATAAAGTATATATATTCTTGATCAGGATCACCTCCTGAGTTGATATAGCCATGTCCGTCTGTCCGTCTGTCCGTCTGTCTGTCCGTCTGTCCGTCTGTCTGTTTCTACGCGAACTAGTCTCTCAGTTTTAAAGATATCGAATTCAAACTTTGCACACACCCTTCTTTTCTTTGCACGCAGTATATAAGTCGGAACGGACGGGATCGGCCGACTATATCCTATAGCTGCCATATAACTGATTGATCGGAAATGGCGTAACTCTGCTGTTTGTTAAGTTAGGAAGTTGGGACTTTCTATGGGTTTTATATTTGGCCAATCAATCCGACGTACCAAATTTCATAAGGATCGGCCGACTATATTCTTTAGCTGCTATATAACTGATTGATCGGAAATGCCATAACTTTGGTGTTTGTTGAGTTAGAAAGTGGGATTTTCTATGGGTTTTATTTTTGCCCAATCAATCCGACATATCAAATTTCATAAGGATCGGCCGACTATATCCTATAGCTGCCATATAACTAATTGATCGGAAATTAAATAACTTTGGTGTTTGTAAAGTTAGAAAGTTGGAATTTCCTATGGGTTTTATTTTTGGCCAATTAATCCGACCTACCAAATTTCATATGGATCGGCCGACTATATCCTGTAGCTGCCATATAACTGAACGATTGGAAATGCCATAACTTTGGTGTTTTTAAAGTTAGGAAGGTGGGATTTTTTATGAGTATTAAGAATGCATCATATGAATAATTTTGGAGAATATAATTTACAGAATATTCTGCAAGGGTATTTCAACTTCGGCTTCGCCCGAAGTTAGCTTTCCTTTCTTGTTTTGGTCAAAAGTGTGCAACGCAGTGAAGGAGACATCTCCGACCCTATAAAGTATATATATTCTTGATCAGGATCACCTCCTGAGTTGATATAAGCATGTCCGTCTGTCCGTCTGTCTGTCCGTCTGTCTGTTTCTACGCGAACTAGTCTTTCAGTTTTAAAGATATCGAGTTGAAACTTTGCACACACCCTTCTTTCCTTTGCACGCAGTATATAAGTCGGAACGGCCGGGATCGGCCGACTATATCCTATAGCTGCCATATAACTGATTGATCGGAAATGCCATAACTCTGCTGTTTGTTAAGTTAGGAAGTTGGGATTTTCTATGGGTTTTATATTTGGCCAATCAATCCGACGTACCAAATTTCATAAGGATCGGCCGACTATATCTTATAGCTGCCATATAACTGATTGATCGGAAATGCCATAACTTTGGTGTTTGTAAAGTTAGGAAGTTGGGATTTTCTATGGGTTTTACATTTGGCCAATTAATCCGACCTACCAAATTTCATAAGGATCGGCCGACTATATCTTATAGCTGCCATATAACTGATTGATCGGAAATGCCATAACTTTGGTGTTTGTTAAGTTAGGAAGTTGGGATTTTCTATGGGTTTTATTTTTGCCTAATCAATCCGACATATCAAATTTCATAAGGATCGGCAGACTATATTCTATAGCTGCCATATAACTGAACGATTGGAAATGCCATAACTTTGGTGTTTTTAAAGTTAGGAAGTTGGGATTTTTTATGAGAATTAAGAAGGCATTATATGAATGATTTTGGAGAATATAATTTGCAGAATATTCTGCAAGGGTATTTCAACTTCGGCTCCGCCCGAAGTTAGCTTTCCTTTCTTGTTTTTGTTTAATTTTACGACATTTTTTATGTTTAATAATCTTGATATTTTTACTTTAGTTTAAAGTT